CCTTCATTATCCTCTTTTTTTGCTCCTTAATTTCAGAAATGTATGTACAGGATTAAACAGTGTGGCTATTTTTAAGGTACGTAAAATGATTTAATAGACAGGAAGACAAGTACGATGGATCATACAGAGGATCAAGACGCAAATAATTTTACGTGTTCCACAGGGGCTCCAGCGTTTAACGGCGTAAAATGATTTTAATATTGTTTTTATTTTTAAATCCTGCATTATATGGTGTGAAAGTATCTTTTTCTTTTTTTTTGGTGGCAATATAAGATACGGAAAGAATTAATTCGTTGTTGTTTTTCTTTTTGTCGTGTTTTAATTTTAACTGTTTTGTTCTACATCTTTATATATTGTGTTTGTATTAATAATGTATTACGTGTAATGGCTTCACGCGTTTATGTCAGATGTCTATTAATAATTAAATATCATCTTTTTGTGAAAAGACAAATTTTTATATAAAAAAAATGGAAAAATTACAAAAGAAAGATCCAAAAAGCTGCAAAAATAGGAAAACCCATATACGATCCATTTATAAGTAGAATTAGAAGAGGGAACGGTTTAACTATTTTTTACATGAGTTGTTTTCATATTGTTCGTAGGGAGAGATTTTTAGACATGCGCAAACATTTGTATGGATGATGTGCTTTTATGGGTTTTTCTTTGCCAGTCGCATACTAAGGAAAGATCTGTTTATATTATTTTCAGCGGCTAATAGAGACAATTTTATTTTTCCATATGTTAGTGTACATACATGGAGCATGGTGTAATTTGATAGGTGCAGGAATTTACTCCTTTGCTTCACAAAATAATGGACCACTTATTTTGTGGTGGGTAATTTCTACTCTACATTAGTAATATCCCACATTTATATTGACTGATGCCAGCTAGTGACTAATTAACAACAGGAAAAAGAAGAAAGGAAATTGTTTAGTTTGTGATATAAGTCTAGAACTAAATACGTTGGGATGTCTTAGAACAGATGTCTACCCATGGCAACGATGAGGAGTTATCCCATTACATAAATTTTACTTATTTTCAAAAAAGGTGCTCCCCAAGTTTGATATGATATCAAGGTTTACGTCATCTATGTGGTTTCACTTTCCTCGGGAGGCATAGAGTCTACCGCGTGTGTGCGACATAAGGAAAGCACGTTCTATTTTTTCACTAAGCTAACTATGATATTAAGGAAGACACATTGAAGTATACCATCTGGAAGGTTCATTTGTGATGCAGGTTAATGAGGATTCGCTAAGAGGAAGAGGAACACATGTGTTCATTTGTATATAATATATATTTATATGTACATAAATACAATGCTGCTATTGTTTACCCCGTTCACTATTGCTATTTTGGTGAAACATTAGGCACAAAGATAGGGAAGAGAAGACTATAACAAATGCATATTTTTATGTAGTTACTTCAGTAGGATGCAGTCCTTATGGTAGACCAAAAGAAGAATTCCTATTATATTCATATTAACATTTGGCTTTACACATATTAACATTTTTCACGTATATTTCTTAACGCAGCTTACGCAAAAAGAGGAACGAAGAATTAAATAAACCATTTTGTCATATGGGAGATAAAAGAAGACACATTTAGAAAAATAGAAACCTGTGAGAGAGAACATTGGTTAGTCTATGTCCTGCGATGAGATTCTGCTGTTACGCTGATTCGTAAAAGAATCGTGATAATATATACTCAACTGGCATTTAAGTTTGCACACATCAGAGAGACACCTCTTTAAACAAAAACCAATTTGAGAATGGCCAAATAGAAGATTTATTTTGACGGAAAACATATGGAGACAATCTTCGATTTTGATAATAGTGCGAACCGAAACTTGTATGGATGTTGTTATTACATATAACAAAATGATTTTCAAAGACACAGCGTTCTGTAACTAGTGTAACATTCATGAATACCTTTATAACCTACTATGTATCATTTCACTTAATGGTGTTATTATTAGAAGGAAAAGAACTCACCAGGGAGGTATAATGCAACAAGTGTTTCCTTTCGTTGTTATTATTACGATAAAATAATGGTAGCACATATACCTGTTTCGCTTCATGGAAAGAGGGCTTAAAGGACAATTGGAAGAGTTGTAAGAATGCGGCAAATAAAGGTTCAGTGAGCAACCAATGGGGGTCCCAGAGAAGGCAGAAGATTGTTAAATGAACTAAATGAACCCAATAGTCGAAATAAACCGAATAAGCAGAATAATCAAGACTAAAAGAATTAAGCCCGCCAGACAGATAAAGAAAATAGACAAAAACGGAAGAAAATAAACTTTTTGTTAATACCTAAATTAGAAACCCATTTAAGGTACGTTTTTTCATAGCATAATTATATATTAACTGATTTATCAGAGAAAAAGATACTATAGATTTATGCGGGGTGGAGTGGGGGTAAGGGATAAATTACATCCTATTTACTTTTTTTTATGTTATACAAATGTGCATATTTTCCTACTACCTCTTTTTTAGCACAGAAAAATCCGTTTCGATGGACTTTACTAAACATAAGAGAATTATAAAGATATAAATATTTACATATATATATTTTTTTCGCAGAACAGCGCGTAAATAAATGCATCTTTATGAATTTTTAAATTTAAAAAAAAAAGACAAAGCATTTTACTACTTAACCCCAACTTAGCCCAAAGAAATAAACAAACGAATGATGTGAAAAATGCTAAAATAAAGGAACAGGGGGTTGAAATTCTCAAAAATTCTATCTGCCCATATAATATATATATTGTATACCAAAACCTCGTTGGCGTAGCTATTAACATATAAGAGAAAATCCATTTATTTATTATTAATATCCCAGCTTTATTTATGCAATGACACTTTTTCTATATTATATTCTAATAGATGATTTATAAAATATTTTCTATGTACTGAATTATTTATAATAGTATATTATTTCCCTCCCTAGGATGAAAATCCAGGATTAACGAAACGATAAAAAGGAACAGGGTAGCGAACCATATATATGATGCTTCATTGGTGGGTACCCCGAGGAAAAAATTGCCGTCAAATGACTAAAGAGGTAAAAACAGGGTATTACAACTTAAATAGAGAAACTATATATTATAAATGTAATTTCATTTTTTTTCTAACGTATAAATAAGCAAGAAGCAAAATGTAAAGGTGCCTTTTAGGCATGTTATTTAATATAACATATGTATGCATGGTACGTATACACAAAAATATAAAAAAAATTTTTCATGGTATTGGATAAGGCATTTTTCCTTCATATAAAATTTCTAAATTTGAGAATTTAGGATTATTTAAATACAAAAAACAAGCAGACAGAGAAACAGACAGACAATTATTGACTGAGTTGATTAAGTATGCTTAGGACAATCGAATTGATTCAATTTTTAAAAACAAATTCATTGTACAATACGGGGCAAACCGAAATTATGCATGAATGCTGCGATTCCGGGAATAGAAATTATTTTACCGCTCAAATTAAACTGTAAAAAATATCTAACAAATAATATAAAGTATAATAACAATTTTTATAGTAAAAAGAAGAAATAAATAAATGTAGGAAATATATTATTTTAGATAATAGTGATGATGAAATGAATCTTTAGGGAAAAGAAAATAATATAATTTTTATGTTTCGTTTCTTTTTTGTTTCAAAACCTGTGTTCGTTCGGCTTTGTTTTTTTTTTATCCAATATTGCTATTAATTTATCTGCAAAAAACAATTTTACAATTCATTAATGTAAAAAAAAAAAAAAAAAAAATTATGTAAAGAAATTTTCTAAATTGAATAAAGAGGAACTTTAAAGGAAAAAATGAATAAAATAATAATAAATAAATATAATCAGAAACATATTTTATCGTATTTTTAATAATTGAGCATTATTATTACTGTGCTATTATTATCCATTTTAGTAAAATATATTATTTATATAGCATTATATTATATTACGTTTCCTAGAAGTCATATGTCGCCGGATACCGTTTAATTTGGAAAAGGGACAATGAAGTAATATATTATAATAATACCTAATATAATGATTAGGGAGAATAAAAAAAATTGCTATTTTTTACGATAAAATATAGATCTAAGAAAACCTTCGGATTTTATTATATATAATATTTACGAAAATGCGATGATATTTAAATTTTAGAAGTGAAATTTTATTATCATCAACATTTTGTTCCAAGATTACTGCGCGTAGAAAATTTAAAATGCCTTTCTTATATGCCAATTAGGACATTTTAATTTTTGCCAATAATTTTACCGTAAACATTCTTCTTTCTTGCGTATAAAATATATTAACTTCAGAATACATCAGAGATTGTATTCATAAGGAAGATATAAATATTAGAGGGAATCATTATCGCATATAAATAAGGACAACAAGAATAGTGTTCTGTCAGATTAACTGATTTTAATACCGATATCTCTTTTCGCCAACCCAAAAGAATAGGTATAACTTTTTCCTTCGTTTAAACTTCGTATGTATGCTTTGCCTATTTGCACGCGTCACTCTATTGCATTCCTAAGAAGGAAAAACTAAGAAAAAGAGTAGAAGGCGAAACAGTGAGAGCCCCAAGGGTGAGAAGCAAAGGAGTGAGAGGCCAAAGAGTGAGAATCAAAAGACTGAGAAGAAAAAGAGTGAAGAGCAAAAAACTGAGAAGCACAAGAGTGAAAAGCAAAAGAGTGAAAAGGAGGGAGGTGATAGGGAACGATATGAGAAGTTAAAAGTAAAGGAGAAAAAAACGACTTTGCCTCTTTTCCACCATCACCTTTTGCTCTTTCACTATTTGCTGCCTACCTTTTTAGGGCTCACCCTTTGGTGCCCACCTTTGATCTTTCCCCATTTCGATTCACAATTTTGTACCTGCATCTGCACGACTACGTTTTTATAACTCCACTACATAGCGCCCCATTTTGTGACTTTTCGAGTTTAGGAATATATTCCTTCTTTCCATGTTAAAAATTACAAGAAACAATAGCCTTCAAAAATGAGTTTCCTAGAGAAGATGTTCAGTTTTCCGGGTCGTACAGACCCCTATCACGTAGGTCAGGATGATGTCAGAATGATCCACTATGCTTTTAAAGGAGTTCCGGAAAGAACAGAAGTTTGGTTTTTCATGGAAACTCGATTCTTGCAGGGAGTCTTTACTGGTATCCTGCTGTTTTATCTAATGTTATACTTTACTCGCCGATACAAGAACAAGGTAAGTTAAGACTCGAACACGTAGCATTCTTTTTAGGCACAGTTAACCTTTCGTTAACTTCACCACGAAGAGAAAAGTATTATTCGGGCTAACGCTTAATTGTCCGTCTGACTCCGGCGTAGACAATTGTTGGTTCAAAATCTCATTCGAATTTGACTGCTATTAACATTTCAGGTGAATAACCTCCCAAGACGTGATTCATTTACATATGTTACCTTGCCAACCCAAGCGCCATATGGATCATACTATGGAGAGGAAATGCCACAGCAACGTTACGAGACGAGAGAAGAACTAGCATGAAAAAAAGGATGCGGCGCCGGAAGCCTACTTGAGAAGGTCGTGGATAAGTAGTGTAGAGGGTAAAACACATTTGCACTTTACACGTGGTTCTATTTGGATGCCTTGTTTGAGCAATGTAAAAAGATTCTGGGCTTTCATGCATTTATATACATGCCGCCTATTTTATACTCCACCCAAAGTTTTCCCTCCCATAAGTTTTTAAATATGGGTAGTATAATGTGCACATTTTTGGCTAAAATAGAATCACTTAATATAATAACTCTCCTGCGTAAACGTTTTATTTTTATTTGCTACACAACACTTCATGTATTTTAATTAAAATATATGTTTCACAACCATTTGTCAGCATATTATTTTTTTTTTTCTAAATTAAGAAAATGGTGTATATATTTTTTTCCTTTTTTTTCAAATGGTAAACATGTATATATATTTCTTAATTTATTTTCTCCCCGATCATTAGCTAAGACAGAAACACAAGCAATGTTTATGTATTTTACATGTTTTTCTACCATATCTTTATATTAACCGTCATGTTAATACTTGAATGATAAATGGATGAGTGGATAAAAAGTTAAAATATAATTTTGTTGGAAGAATTCAATTTGTACTTTTTCTGCTAAATGAACTGCATGGATAAGGAGACATATATACATATAGTTGTATGTACATTCTTGTTATTCAGAAACAAAATGAAAACAGATTCCTACTAATGTATCATAATATGAAAAGTTGTAGTGGTGCATTGGTTCATTCTGCGTTACTCCTTCCAAACACATAGAGGAGTCCGCTTTTTACCTTGTTAAAGAACATTGTACATTTCGGGGGTCATCATTGTGGCCCCATTGAAGAGCTCAAAGGCAGGTAGTCAAGCCTTTTAATACCTTGTCATCCTTGAGAAATAATTAAAATTTATTCCGCCAACCCGGTTAGATTCGGGGGGGTTCTCCACTTTGGAGTATTCACGAGTGACTATTTTTGTTAAAGAAGTAGTATATGCACTATAGTTTCTTTCTCTCCTGTGACAAGCCTCTCGTGCGTTAAGTTTATCTTTATTATCTTAGGTTCATCATGTAACGGCAGTATTCAAAAGAAACCTTCGTTATAGTGCTCTATAGTACTATCTAAATGGAAAGTACTTCCCTATTTGTCTTAGCGTCAAGTTTGCTAATCTTTCTGGTCTAAGGTATACAACAGAGCTGGGGTACCATTTTTCATTCAGTCACAGTTCTATATTGATCTAGTGAAGGGACCTTACGAAGTATTTTTGCATTCGTCTGTTGGAACTAATGTACCTTCACTACAGAAGGATGAAGTATCAAGTTGGGTGAAAGAATAATAATAATAAGATTGTGTAAAAATATGGCACCAAAGAACAAATAAGGGAAATCTGAGTTTTCTTCTGCGCAGAACCTTGAAACTTTTGAATTGCTTAAAGACAAAGAAAGAGAGGGAGTAATAGCAAAGTATCCATTTTTTTAGAAATTTTGGTAATCTACCTGTTACTTTGTGTTTTTTCATCTTAGAAGATTAAGCCTCTACCGTATTGTATCCTTTATGCTCCAATTTAATCTACTTGTTTGATGTGTTTTTGACGGAAAAAAAAAAGCGAAATACGATCAGTGTGTTTCCCTTTTTTTGCCACTGTTGAGTCTTTTTTGAAGTACTTCATATAACAGTCCAATGTAGAAGACTGTAACATAATCTTCACTTGGATTATTGTTTCCTTTGTTGGTAGTGAAATATCACTTATTGTGTTAAAGATAGAAGGCATTAAAAATATCCAGCGAAAGCCACAGGCTTCTAAATAATGCCAGGAGGTTACATTGTGAAAGAGATAATAATGAAGCAATTCTTATTTAGTTCATTCGCTTGGTAATATTACTCTATTGAGGGTAGAAAGCATGAACAAGTTGTGCTATTTCTGGTGCAGACAACGCAGTGTCCTGTGAAGGGATCAAGCAAGCAATAAAGACAAAATTAACCTTAAATATGGGACTGATAGATATGTTTCGAATAATGGACCAATTAGACGATAATGAACAACGTGTTATTCTCATGAGAATGATAAAGATGGACGGAAAAGCCGACGAAGCCTCTGATTTGTGGCATGATTTTCTATTTATACAGTCTCTGATGCTCTGGGAAGAAACTAAGCTAAGTATGGTATAGCATTTTAGTTAGGTCATTTTCTGCAAGATAACAGTGGAAGAATTGAGCCTCCCCTTTGTGAGTAATAAAAAGAAGGAAGGAGAGAAATAGGCAGATTCTCTCAAAATAGAGGAATTGCATTAAGGAATAGCATAATTTCTTGCTGCATGTTCGTAGCTTTTTTTTTTTCATTTGTTTAGAGATTTTTCTCCTGGTTTATTTTTAAGGAGTTAAAAACGTACTATTTTTTCCTGGCACGCTGCTTATTTACTGTTAGACTTCAGATATCCGTGCAGAGATAACCAATTTAATAAAAGAATTTTGTTTTAAAGTTTTACTTATTCATCCAGTATATCATTAACACGTTAATATGAGATTAACACACATACTGAGTAGTATACAACATAAACATAATAAGAAGAAAGAGAATAGAAATAAGGAATCATAGCAATTGATGAAAGATTTTTCTGTCGACAACATAAGAAATTCCAAAGAAGACGAATATTTATTTCATAGGAAAATATTTTGCATAGAAATATATCAATATATATGAGGACAGTTAAGGGATATGGAAATATAACTACATAGAAATTACCAAGTCACTCAACAGACTAGATTTTAATTAAAAAGTAAAGCAGCACACCACAGAGTATAACCAAATATATCAATCTAAAAGACGTTTCAATTTGATGAAGAGCGTATATCAAAATATATCTTAAGCAATAGCGGAAAATATATTTTTTAAGGTATTCCATAAGAATAGGTAGAAATACGTGATGCAAAGACCAAACGGGGCCTTAATCCTGTGTATATGAAGAAGACACTCAAGGACATGTATAAGGGACTGGCAAAAGGAAGAGTAATGCATCTCGTATTGTATGCAGGGGAACGATTAGAGCGACATGATGTCAATTGAAGCTGCACATTAAGTGATCCTCTCTTTGGGGGTGTAATATTATGATGTTCTTTATCAACTAAGCAGGAATTAGTGTACAGCAATATATGACTAAATTATGTTAAGATTATGTTGTCCGGATAAGATCCTATATTACAACAGGAACCTTGTCTAGGATTCCTGGCCTTCCATGAATTGTCGCATTTATAATGTGTACGCGTTTTCAATGTCTAACTATCGCTTAAATCGTTGAGCCAGACGACATCTGTGATTGATATTTTACAATTCTGAGTAGTAAATCTTGGTAATAATCACATTTATTGTAAGAAATGGAGTCCCATATTTTTAAACTAATTAATATAGCAGCAACGTAAATGAACATGTTCATTAGAAACTGCGATAGAGTTTTGCTGTTTATTCCAAATGGTTGCAGTATGCTTGGTCGTTGATCTTCGTGACCAGTAAGGTCTATCATGGTTGGATGGTGGGGATTTCCATAATATTGTCTACTTTCATCTGAGCTTTCATATTGATTCTGATATGCAGAGGATGGGTCGGGTTTTTCGTAGTTGCTGTTTGAGTACATTTTCGGTTATTGCCTTATTAAATAAAGGAAGAAGAGTATTGATTATGCTGAGTCTCTCTATTTTTAAATATCCTTTAAACTTATGCTTGTTAGTCTGAGAAGTATGTTGTCCAGCGTCTATAGCAGTATTGTATTACTAGAATGTGCTTCTTTCTGCAGTGAAGACAAAGGAAGAAAAGAAAAGTAATGTGTATATATTAAGCAGCTAAAGGGGCATAATATATATTATACGGAGATAAGGCGGACCCAAAAGCCACTTGATTATCAAAAGCCCGAGACCGTACAATCGAGACTTCAGAAGAACAAAAACACAACTCTGCCAAAAACTCATTCCCTCAAGACTTTATGCATTAGGTGTGGATAAGGATTAAAATTTCTTCTTTTGAATGAGCAGGCAACTCGACGGAGGAGGCAGTCGGGCGGGAATAACATAAGCAAAGTAATAGCGAATACATATTCAACTCTAGTGCATAAATAATAGCCGAAAGTGTTACCGTATGCTATACTGAAGGAAGAAACTTAGATCAGTCGTTTGCGGTTAAAAATCTTTTCTGTATATCTTTGTAGCTGTAAAGGAAAGAAATATAGAAAGGTCAATCTATGTTTTCTTAAGATATAATAATTGTTCTCTTGATAGTCCTTTTTTTCATACAGAAGAAGTATGAAAGGCATAGTATTAATGCTCAAATTAAGTTTTATTTTTTTTTTCTGTACTTGTATAAAGGGAAGTAGGGTTTTATGAGCAGGAAAAATATGATAAATTGTAGTAAAATCTTAGATATAAACCTCATGAAATTTTAAAATTCACGAAAGATATTTTTTTTTTTTGAGAAATACTTTACTTCAGGAAATATATATATATATGTTTT